GGCGAGCGCGAGGCGTGAAGCCGCTGCACGACTGCAGCGATTAGGCGAAGAGCTGGTGGGTGCGGGAGGGAGAACGAAGCGGCGGACCAGGAAGCGAGCATACATCAGGAGATTCATCACAACCGCGCCTGTGGTAGGACAAGGTAGGAAGTGTGCTGACGGTTCCAAAGTGGATCCTGGACTGCGGTTAGGTTGGGTTGGATCATAGCAGATCTAATTCTGAGTCTGTAAGCCAGGGATACGTAATGCGCAAACACATGTAACGGTGTGCACAACGACTTTAGGACACCTGCCATAAAATGAACGAAATACATATTTTTTCAGATTTTTAACTGCAAAGAACACCTCACTGATCAAAAGTATTAAAGGTGCCAGCTAACTACTACTTATTTCCAACTCTGAAGTACATTTAAAAAATTATGTCTCCAATCGATTAGATTCAAAGAGTCATTTAGTTTCATTAAGAATCTTTAAAAATCAATTATTACTTTTTTGTAAAATTTCTATGGTCGTCTTCCGTTTAGTCTATTTCACAGGTAATTGACCTTTCAATTACCATGGCATAGTCCACCCAACATGTTTACACACTAATGGTCCACACAAATAGCTTGCCTCTCTGGAAAATCATTTAAAATATAATAAAAGTTATGATTTCTATCACGAAACTTTCATGCATAGTTATTCTTAAACGATCATAACTGAGGAATGTACAGTTAGAAAGCATGGTATGAACAATGTAATATTTATTTATTTATGTCAAAAACAGTTAAAACTGTGTGTGACATGCTATGGGGAGAAGTTAAATTTAAGTTACATTTATATCCCGAATATCTTAAGTAATCCTGAAATATATAAATGTTTGGCCACCATTGATATGTAGACATTTTTCATCAAGTCGGTTTATTCGTTGAAACGTTCTTTAACGTGACTTTCCAGGGTTTTCCGCATCAAATATGACATTAAATAGTTCGTGATCACCTAACGTGAACACCTAAAACAACAAATGACTGTTTTGAAATATAAACTGTTTACTCCAATATAAAGCAACTAGGACGACCAGCTGAAAATATCTTAAGCATATTCACGTGTATGAGCGAGGTTGGAAAGTGTATGGTTTAAATTCATCTACTGAACTTCCTGAAAAGTATTCTTTTTTTTGCAACAAAAAAAGACGTTGGGTTCCTGTTGGAGGAAAGTAGATGAGATTCTGATCAGACACTTTCCTCGTCTTGTTATTAGCAAACCATGGATTGAAAACTTTCTTGCAACTCTCTCTACTTCGTGACCTTTTGTCCTCGGATGTAATTATTTGTGAACGTCAAACAATGTATTAAATGTTTCTTTTCATCGTGTACCTTGTAGAAGCATAGAGAGTATGACTGTTGTCAAAGGTCTCTTCGAATACCTACAATCCCGTTGTGCTCGTATGTAAGTAAAACTACTCAGATAATTATGAAGTAAATGTGAAAGCCATAAATAAATGAATAGGAAATATCTCCGTATCTGAAACGAATATTTATGTGTATCTGCTCTTTCGTATGCACTATGTTAAAGCGTCTTGACTTTCCTTCATTATGTTAATTCCAGTCATTCTCCTTTCCCCATTTACCACATAATTTGTTAATGTCGGGTTGTTGGATGATTGGACTGGGATCTACTTTTATGTATCGGCTTAAGATATTTCTTATGGATATAATGGTTTTGATAATTTCAACTTCAGTAAATTTTGCCTGAAATAGCCTCCCTTTTCTTGTAAATTCAGTGTTTTGGAAAATGTTGGGAAGCAGTTGAAGATTTTTTTAATTGGTTCATTTAAAATTTCATTGTATTATGTACTCTTTTGTATTCTGACTTTCTGGTTTACAAACATATATTACTTTGTGAATTTTGATTTTAGGCTAAAGACATGTACTTGATGTACGCGAAATTCTAAAACCGATAGCTTGGTTTAAATTTGGCGTACTGAATAAATACTTCTGTACAAGTGTGCCGGACACATTTAAATATCTGGTTTCTCATCACGTTGCTCATCTTTCCGTTTAAATTCAGGCGCGCTCTGGGGTCGGTGCGGTAACCCTTTTTCATTAACCAAATACTCGATATCTTTGGCGTGTACTTTGATAAAGTCTCAATATTATTACGACTATTCCACTCATAATATTAACACTAATAGCATTTAAAAATGAATGTAGTATGATCCAATTAGGGTGTTGAATCAATAAATAGATCGCCTTTACAACACATCTTTCTTACCAGTTCTCTCTACACGTCAATCATACGCTGCAATACATCAGTCTTAGGAGATGGCTCACACTAAAATCACGATATTTCATTAATATAATTAATATTTGGAGCATTCAAAAATTCGGGTAATAATAATTTCTGTTGTGGAAGAGTCTTATTAAATATCACTCCTGCATTCCAAATTGACAAGTTCCCTCTTCGCGGAAATTTGTCGGAAATTTGAAATCCTCTTAAGGCATCAAAAGTATTAATGGAGAACGTATCTATGTTAAGAAGAGTGCAGTACGATGGTAGTCACGTAGCCACTTTAGTCCACGACAAGGCGTCACTCGACATGTTGGAATAGCCAAGTTCTATAGACGTCCTCATTCCATGATTCGCACTTTAATTCACCCGAGATGGTTCTGAAGTGCCATGAATTTTCCCCTAAAATCAAAAACAAAAAAAAAACTATGTCTAACTTAGAGAGCATTTCTGTAATAATCTACAACAGGAAACAATTAAAGAGGAATGTTTTCCCTCGTGGCCATCTGAATCACCAATTCATTGCATCACAGGGGCATTAAGGCATATCAAAAGTGTTGCAGGCGGTTTACTACAGACACTTTTGGAAATTATACGAAGTCAGCACATCTAATCCCATTTAAGTTCTCTTTTTCATATTTGTGGCCAACGATGATACCACCCTACGCAGAGAGCTGAATGTACCAGACTTTATCCGAAACAAATCTTTCCTAAGAAATCCAGGTCAATGTAACTCGAACGTCTGTATCTCGACCGTTGGGTAACACTACTAACTACTAGTCACACAGAAATTCATTACAGGGAGGAGGTGCAGAAGGAATGTTTTCTCAACATTTGTACAATGGAACAAGAGGGCGTCGGGGGGGGGGATTGTTACAACTAAAGGTTTGCCGTCTCATTGCTACTCCTCTGCATCACAGACGTGTTCAGTAGACCTTACCAGGCCTCGGCGTGTGTCGCCAAGGACGATTTTAAGGACTGCATTCATTCCCAGAACGCAAACTAGTAGTCCACAACAGCACATACTCCTTATTATTACTAACATATGTAATGTTGAAATCATGGGGGCAGATTTTGACGACATAAATCATTACCAAAATGATCAAAAAAAGCTCTTCAAATCAAAGAAAAATGACGTAAAAATTGTATCAAAACCAGTTTAGATAAACAACTGAAGCTGTTGGAAATGATTATATAATCGAAGTTTCTTCCTTTCGTTCAAGTGAACACAGCTGGTAAACTATACGTTTGGACTGTTCTTTACTAGAAAATAGTACCACGTGGAGAATTTGTTGCATCTCGTACATATATTTTGAAGCAAGTACCATTGAGATATTTAAATCGATGTAATAATCGAAAGATGCTTTAAAAATGACAGAAAAGGTAAAAAATGACTTTTTAGCCGAACCCGACAAAAAATGCAAATAATGACATAAAAATGGATCGTTTCCTTTTGTCATTAAATAAAATTAATGTTTGTACTAAAAAGAATTGTTCTAAAGTGACAGGAAAAAAATGACATTTCATTCAAATCTGTCCCCTAGTTATAAAATGGAAGCGTTGGGTCGCGAACCTAGATACTTACAATTTCGCAGGTGGCATCTTAACCAACTGAGATAACATCTCTGAAATCAGAATCAAAGTAATAGTATAAACGTTTTCTTTTAGTATTTCCGATAAAAACGGCTTTAACGGAAATCGGATCTGCGCCGATTTTATAAACCTACTTTGCTCTATAGGAGAAAAAATTAAAAAAACTAGTGGTTCTTCAGCAGCAAATACTTCCTTGCATTATTTGTGACGGTAACGAAATATTACTTGAACCTACAAAAGTGGATACAACAATGGAGGAAAGAGATGGATGGTCCTCCGATGCACCGAATTTTTGCTCGTTCTGCGCAGCACCAGTTTGCGTCACCAAACACGTGACCACAACACGGTCACTTCATTTGAAACGCCTGACCAGACGTTGCCCGCCATGTTGCATGGAGAGCGATAAGTGTTGAGAAGCATTTTGAAAGTGGCTTAAACTGATAATTTCAGTGCTTCATATATCTGTTTCAATATGTTGTAGCAAGGTGATAATTGCCGCTAATTTTGATACGCAAACTGTTACCTGAAACTCATTGGCTGAAGACGAATACGATGTGCAACAGCCCACATCTCTTTCCACCATGGTTTTAACCAGGATAAATAATCCACGCTTGGATACGATCGCAAGTCTTAGGTTTAGTACGCCTTTCACATTTTCAATACACCATATTATTTGAAGAACAAGTTTTCAAAAACTGTGGTAATTAATTCAAAATTTTGGAGTAGTTTTTGAGGAAAGTTTGAAAATGTTAAGACTTTGTGTTAACTACCCCTCAAAAATCAAATGATCAATTCTTACATCGCAAGGTTCCGAGTTCGGCCAGATTGGTCAGGGAATGGCAATTTTCGACAAAATAATCTCAACGCTTTAGGTCAAGGACGGACGGTTAGACGGGAGGATAGACGCACGGACGGATGGATACATGAACACAAATGGACATACGAAATTGTGTGCACGGTTTAATCGCTTACCTTGTTCACACATGATTTCGCGATCGACAGGTCACATTGGATAAGGAGACTATGCACAACTTTGCGTTTGTTTCTTTTACCAAAATATCAGTTGACGATTCGTTATGTACTTCGGAGTTGGATACGAGGCTCCGTCATTCAGGGTTTTAATAAAACAATTTCCGGTCTGTTCAATGCATTTTATGCCGATATACTTCGTTGCCAGTTTGTTAGAATTTTAATTTGTTAACAGTTCGGAATTAAAACGCAATCACAATTCAAACGACGCAGTGTTTTTCAGGGCTCTCGATTAGATGAAAATGAGTTACCCTCGTTCATACCCTTGTTTAGTTCCTCTCTTTCGTTCTCAGTTCTCGCGGTAGACTCCTTCGTTGAATATTTTAAGGGTAAGACCCCAATCTTGTTACAGAATTTCGGAAATTCTCATGGAAGAAGATTTACCCCATTTTTGTTACCAGAACTTCACAAGACAAGTATTTCCGTCGAAAAGATCGCTGATTTTGCCGCAACATTACAATACTTTCTCTTTAATATGGAAGTACGTAAAAAAGCGGAAAAGTAAAAAAAAAAGTCTCCAAAAATTAAAGCGCTCGAAAGCAGGTGCTGACTACGGCACTGGCCCCATTGCTCCCGCAGTGTTTCTTTTTCAGCAATCCCACGCGCCGCCAGATACCTCGGCCCACGGCCCCAGAAAGGCGGCTTGCGATAGCGCACGTGCTCCCGAGGCCCCGCGAACACAGCCGCCTTTGAGCCCGTCCTTCCGCGGCAGACGCTTCGCACGCGCTTCTTAACGAGCCTGCGCTGTCGATTTCCAAACTGCGAACTCGGGGCTTCTCGCCGGCGAAATATCAACAGCGATGCCCCACGCCTCCGCAAATGTCGGCCTCGCGATCTGACAATGGCTGCCTTTACGGCTCTCTCGCAGAAGGGTTTCGGAACTACGGATCGCGATATCACCGGTTCTGAAGTCTGCTATTTTTTTTCTACAAAATAAAAATCATGACTGAAGTTCACATGGACTAACAGAAGAGGTTAGAAGTCATTACGTCAATTACATAACCTTTTGACCATTGTATAATCACGACATTCAAGAATAAAGAATTAAAATCGATTCATGGGATTGGTCAATGTGGTTACGGAAACAGTTACGTCTACGTTTCCTAATACATAATTTCTTCCTCAAGGCTACAGTGTAAATAATGAACAGTGAATGAGGACAACATACATTACAATAAATTGATTGTTGAATAATTAACACAAATAAAACACAAAAAATATTTAAAATTTAAAATTATAAACGAGGATAAATAAAACACCAAAAACATATAGGAAGCACACACCTTATTAATAATCATACAGGTACCGTCTGATTCCAAGCCTCCACACCCAACTCCATATGGAGGTGCTGGAGCACGTGGGTTCATCACGAGACAATTGGGAGTTTGGGCCTTAGCCCAACTCACGCACTCACTATTACTTTCACAATTATGAAATTTCATATAATTTGTCTTCATCACCAAAAAAGATACCTTATTTGTATAGTAATTCAGGAACATTTACACAACTTCATAATTTAATTCATAAAAATTACAATCAGGGCTTTATATGAGATTGTTTCGTTTTAATGTCTTCCCGGGCAATGTCACGTGTATTTGCCAGAGTGACGACTTAATGTGTTAATTGTTAGTGTTTTTCTCAGACGTTGTGAACTAAAATTATTTTATCTTTACACGACTGACATTGTAGAAATCTTCACAATTGGTCGTCAGCCATTAATATTAATTTCCTATTCGTCCTGATACATCTATCTTCGGGCGAAGTCCTCCTAAGAACTTAAACTTCTAACTTTAGACATCTTGTACAAATTTCATTGTAAACCACCTTTCTCATTGGATCATTGTACTGCTCAATAGACCGCAAAATATTCAAACTTCTGGCCGTGGACCTAAGAACTTCAAACCATTGTATTCTGTGAATGCTATTACTTTACTATGCTTACTATACATGCCAAGTGTTATGATGTGAAGACGTGAAACAATAAGCTTAAACCTAGTGGTGCTAGAACAGTACGTACTTTCTCCCAGTATTTTCACGCAGAATTACGCGAAAAGTACTCACATTTTCGAAAGATTGTACGTGACCTTATTTCAAAATCTGTCCATAAGCAACATTCCCTTAAAGGAAAAAATCTATCTTCAATCTTTAATTGAAGAAAGTCCCCGAAAACATGTGAAAATATGCATTTTTCTAAAAATTATGGATTTCAACAAACATGAGATCTGCACCACTCTCTTAAACGTATTTGAAACTATTTAACAACAAAATTTATTCAAAAACGATGGAGCCATTTGCTTTATAAATTTGAAAAAATGTCCCATGGGATTCGTGTAATAAACCCCTCAAAATTAAAATATCAGTTTCAAATTCAAGGGGCCATGACATCAGCGAGATCCAATGCGGGATATCAGTTTTGGAGGAATTCAACAAATCGGTTAAGTCGTGTTGTTCACAGACAGACCGACGGAAGAACGGGCGAGCGGACGGAGGACGGACGGACGGGCTGACGGACGGACGGACATTTTCATTCGATATTTTGGTACCACAAAACATGAATTCTGGCTACACCACATGATAGAGGATTTTTTTTCTAAATTCAACAACTGTATTTATATCCCTTTTCGTTACCAAGGCCCTGAAATAGTGTTACTGCCGAAAAATAGCCTTTTTTTAGCCAGGCATTACATACTTTTCTCTCCGCTCCGTAGGGAGAAACTAAAAGGGGATTCTTAATGCCATTCCTCGTAAACTGGAATGTTTATATCAATATTATTAATAAA